AGTCCCCTCTTGGGGTAGGCTTTGACCCATCTGGAAACTGTCCTTTCTTTCTGCAAGCTGCCCATTCTTGCAAATGCTCCTTCTGGAAGTCTTCCCAACAAATCTATCACTCAGGCATTTCTGCTTCTCTAGGTGCTTACTGCCCTTCCAGCCAGGCCTGCATGCTTTAGGGTTCTTTGGCCAAGTGGCCAAGGGTTTCACATGCAGTATTTTTATGCCTGAGCCCAGTAAGCTGGTCTAGAATCTCCAGCATGGCTTCTTGCTCTTCCCTCACGAGGCTTTGCATAGGGCAAGGCACCCAAGAAATGCTCAAGAAACTCCTGTTGATTCATTGGTTGATTCAAGGCCCAAGACAGTCCTGGATATTCTTAATTCAAACAATTAGGTGGGTGTAGATCAGACTATTAACTTACTTACCTTGCATAGTGACTTTTCACATAACAAATTTTCACAGCTTTCTAGAAATAGTAAAATTTTTGAACAATCCCCCCTTTTCTTTTCCCAAATAATGACTTTCACCTCCTAAAACACTAAATAATATGCTGTAGTTTCAATATTACAGTTTCAGACAAAAAGGCATTCGCCAATTTCCCAATTACAACAGTTTCTATTCAGAGACTATCAAATGGAAAAATTTTGAGTTAGAGGTCAAGTGTGGATGAGCATTTTGCTTTGTGTATGTGTGACATGCAGGTAGGGTGAAGAGGTAACATCTCTTACTACTCTTTAGTCAAGGGATCAGTAAACTTTTTCTGTAAAGGGGCCAGAGAGTAAATATTCTAAGCTTTGAAGGCCAAAATGTCTCTGTTGCAAAACTACTTAGCTTTGTCCTTGTAGCAGGAAAGCCATTATGACTAATCTGCAAATGAATGGGGGTGTCTTTGTTCCAATAAAACTTTATTTACAAAACCAGGCCAGATTTGGGCAATGAACTTTCATTTGCAGACCTCTGTTTTTAGTCTTTTTTTTTCTTCTCTTTTTATTTCATCATATTATGGGGGTACAAATATTGTTAAGGTTACATATATTGCCCTTGCCATCTACCCCCCCCTTCCGCCGTGTCAGAGCTTCAAGTGTGTCCATAATGAGCGCATGGCACTCATTATGTAAGTATACACCTATCCCCTCCTCCCCCCTCCCACCCGCCTGCCACCTGATAAATGTATTTTTGTTTTGTTTTGTTATGTTTTTTGTTTTTTTGACATTTTGATTGCATTTTATATCTTTGCCTCTCGCTTAGAAGGGTTAGAGGTAAGCCCTTCCCCACGGTGCTCGCCATATCCCTAAGATGTGGGTCTCCCCCCACCACCATCTGAGCACCATAGTTTTATTCAGTCAGTACCAATTTGATGGCGAGTACATGTGGAGCCCATTTTCCTGGTCTTGTGTTGCCTCACTTTGGATAACGGGCTGAAGCTTAATCTAGGATAGCATAAACAGTGCTAGTTCGCTGTCGTTTCTTAGAATTGAGTAATATTCCATTGTGAGCAAATACCAAATTTTGATTATCCACTCATGAATTGACGGGCACTTGGGTTGTTTCCATGTCCTTTCAATAGTGTGAGCAAATACCAAATTTTGATTATCCACTCATGAATTGACGGGCACTTGGGTTGTTTCCATGTCCTTTCAATAGTGAATTGTGCTGCCACAAACATTTGCGTGCATGCTTTTAGTCTTGTGAGCACTCATTATTTCTTTGTGCTTTGAACTTCTTTATTTTGCCCTAAAGGGTTTTCTTTTCTGTGCTACTTTATTTTAAAGTGCAGTTTATTTTGAGTGCAAGATAATCATTGTCTCCCAAAAGGTTGAAAAATTAATGCAGAAAATGGCACAGAATGCAGAATGAACCTTATAATGAATGATTCACCTGCACCCTTTCCTCTATCAATCTCACCCACTCTTAAGTCTTCCTTTATTCCTTTGCTGAGTGAAAGAAATCTTCATTACATCACATTATATGAACAAACTATATTTATTTTTAATATCTTGAAAGTTGTTTATTACTTTTATGGACTCATTTTCATTGTTCAATTAATACATTTTTCTGTGTCTGGCATATCTTAGTTTGGGTTAGAATGCATCGTAGTTTTCCTATTACAATTAATGGAAATATTTTTAGTTTAATGGGTTTTCACTCAGCAGCTGAGTGTTCAGGAATGACTTCCTGTCAGTAAGTGATGGATAGGTATAACTTCAGGGGAAGTTGCAAATTGCCCTCACTTCTGGGGGAATTGCTAGTCCAAGGCAGGTGAAGCCTACTCCAGCTGGCAACCCAAAGCCATCATTCCATGTCAGTCGGGACCCTGAAAGGCAGGCGTCCTCAAACTACGGCTCGCGGGCCACATGCGTGTGTTTTTTTTTTTTTTTTTTTTTTTGAACACGATCTCCTTTGTTGCCCAGGCTAGAGTGAGTGCCATGGCGTCAGCCTAGCTCACAGCAACTAAACTCCTGGCTGACAATCCTCCTGCCTTCAGCCTCCTGAGTAGCTGGGACTACAGGCATGTGTCCCATGCCTGCTAATTTTTTCTATAGATATTAGTTGCCATTAATTTCTTTCTATTTATAGTAGAGACGGGCTCCCTTGCTCAGGCTGGTTTCGAACTCTGACCTCGAAGCAATCCGCCACCTGGGCCTCCCAGAGAGCTAGGATTACAACATGCCGGTGGTTTTGCCCGTTTGTTTTTTTTTTACTTGAAAATTAGATATGTGTAGGGGGCATAGGAATTTGTTCCTAGTTTTTTTTTGTTTTTTTGTTTTTTTTTTGAGACAGAGTCTCGCTTTGTTGCCCAGGCTAGAGTGAGTGCCGTGCTCAGCCTAGCTCACAGCAACCTCAAACCCTGGCTCAAGCGATCCTGCTGCCTCAGCCTCCCGAGTAGCTGGGACTACAGGCATGCGCCACCATGCCCAGCTAATTTTTTCTATATACAGTTTTAGTTGGCTGATTAATTTGTTTCTATTTATAGTATAGACGGAGTCTTGCTCTTGCTCAGGCTGGTTTTGAACTCCTGACCTCGAGCAATCCGCCCACCTCGCCTCCAGAGTGCTAGGATTACAGGCGTGAGCCACCGCGCCCGGCCTCCTAGTTTTTTTAACTATATCGGCCTCCCACAGTCTGAGGGACAGTGAACTGGCCCCCTGTTTAAAAAGTTTGAGGACCCCTGCTGAAAGGCGTGAGGAGATTTGCAGGAGGAAGAAAATAGGGAAGAAGTGGGTCGTGGTGTCCTGCTTGGGTGGCTGTCCTCTGCCCTGTGCATAGGAAGCTTTGTCAGGCTTGTAGTCACATCGTGTATGGCAACGGTCCTACCTCCACATCTTTCCATTTCTGGTTTTCCCATGTCACCTGAGGCCATTCCTTGGTTTCAGTGTCCTCATTTGTAAAATGGAGTTAAAAATATATTTGCTATCAAGTATATAGGTTTACCAGGAGGTTAACACAAATGTACTATGCTTATGGGAAGTATTGTTACCAGCTGAGCATTTAGAAGGAATTAGGAGGTGCAAGACCCCCCTAGACACTAGTGTCTGAGGTTCCTGAAACTGCTTTTTTTTTTTTTTTTTTTTTGAGACAGAGTTTCACTCTGATTGCCCAGAGCTAGAGTTCGTTAGTGGCATCAGCCTAACTCACAGCAACCTCAAACTCCTGGGCTCAAGTGATCCTTCTGCCTCAGCCTCCCGAGTAGCCAGGACTATAGATAGGCATGTGCCATCATGCCCGGCTAATTTTTTCTATATATAGTTTTAGTGTCCAGCTAATCTATTTTCTATTTTTAGTAGAGACGGGGTCTTGCTCTTGCTCAGGCTGGTCTTGAACTCCTGAGCTCAAGCGATCCACCCACCTTGGCCTCTCAGAGTGCTAGGATTACAGGCGTGAGCCACCATGCCCGGCCCTGAAACTGCTTTTTAGGAGTAAGTGACTGGGACTGACTTGGATGATTTTTATTTCTCCTATTTCTCCCTTCACTGTGATGGGCCAGGAACTGTCAATGTTGGGGCTGCAGCATTGAATGTGACAGCCACAGTTCCCAACCTCATGGAGCTCACACTCTAGTATGTATTATGGAGTCAAGTATAAAAACTCTTGGGAGAGTCCCAAGCTAAGGGCCAAAGGCCTGCTAGGATGTGTTATGGAATAATAGCAACAAAATAACATCAACAGCCGATGAGCTCAAGACAGCTATAACATGCTATGATATCATAACTTGGACAAAGGCTTATGTTCTTTTGACTTTGGGGCAACATGAAATGAGCAGAAAGTACGGTATGTTATAGAATAAGCCCAAAAGGTTGGGAGAATTTCATGCTAAGGGCTTAAGACCTGATCAAGACAAATCAGATAGGACCATAAATGTGTGGTCGTGTTATACTGAGCTCATCAGCACCCTTTGAGCTCTGACATGACCCCCAAAGCCATGCACACAAGTTTTGCATTGAGAAAATTGCTCTTCTGGTTTCTAGATGTAGTTGAATTCCCCATTCCCACTGTCTTATGACCGCCAGCAAATCAAAAACAGGTAGGTAGTAATTGTGTTGCAAATGAACATCTATATCATTAGATAATAAAATCTGTATCATTTCAGCAGTAGCCTTGGGATATCAATTGTTCTTTCTCATGAAGAAAGCAAATTTTATAATTTAAATCATTATCATCAAAGAAATCAAAGACCCAGTCATTAGTCAGTCTTTCCAATAAAACCAGTTTCCTTTGGATTCATCCTAGGGAACCTGGTGAAATGGATGCTTTATGTAAACACAAAAACATACTAACCAGTAGCTACCGCAGTGGAAGTGAAGGACAAAATGCATGGGTGCACTTTTCACCGAAGCATGCAAAGCAAAAATCTTTCACCATATCTTTTGTGGTTGCTAATAAGCTTAATTCATACACTTGGCTGTTTTTTGTACAATTCTTAGCACCGCAAAGAGGAAGTGCTTTTTCTGCTTCCTTAAGAAAAAGTTCCAGTCCAAACCATCAGCCTCTGTAGGTTGTCCTAATTGCTACTTTGCACTGCACTGGACTATGACTCTGATTTTTGGCACATGCTATCATACACAAAGTTCCTAAAATAAAATGCTCCAGGATATCCTAGGAACTCTTAGAAGGCTTTAAAAAGGAACTCACACACTGAAAGAACATCTTTGATGAGGACAATTCAGGCAAGCAGAATGATTGCTGCAACAGAATTACATGATTAATTGAGATCTTGAAGTGGGTCTGGCGAATGCTCACCACCTAACTTATCATGGTTTGGGGGAGTTTGCCGAGAATCCAGTTTTGATAAAGCAATTGTTTTTTTTTTTTCCTCCCCAAGTGACTATACATTTAAATAGCTAAAACATCTGTTCAGGAACATAGTAAAACATGTATACTCGGAACGCTTGAGAGAAGAGCCTGCCAAACAGTCGGTTGAGAGGGACATTGCTGAGGGAGAGCACCAAGATAAAGCAACCACTGTTTGTTTTGTCTAGTCAGGGGGAAAGCCAAGGCAACCAATATTTTTGGTTTTTCAAATTTCATTTGTGAAGAATTATTTGAAAAAGGGTGGCGAGGCGACATTCCCTGACGGGACTTTTTTTTTTTAAAGCTGCCCATTAGTAGAAGAGCAAAGAGAGCCTTGGATGTCAACGCCTAACAGCCTCTTGAGACCAGCCACCAAACCACGAAAAGTGACTTTCTTCTCGAGTGCTCTCTCTGGCCCTTCTGATGGAAGCAGAAACAGGGAGCAGTGTTGAGACTAGAAAGACAGCCAACAGAGGCACTCGAATTGCCCTGGTCGTGTTCATCGGTGGTACCTTGGTGCTGGGCACGATCCTCTTTCTAGGTAAGTGGACCACTGGAGGCCAGGGGCACTGGGCAGGTGCGAGAAGTTTCCTTGTGCTTTATGCTAGCAAAACTTGTCATAACGCAGGTGTGTGGCTGTTTGCTTGTGTGAGTAGGTGGTGCTTCCTTAGTTTCTATCAAATATGCAAATGAAAAGAAGGCTTTTCTTTAGGAAGTTCAATAAATAAATATGCCCAAGTACCAAATGTATAGTCCAGAAGGCAAAGTGAGTCTAAGTGGCTTAAAGTGGCTGGAGGATTCAGTTGCAAAATGGGCAGAAAAATGTTTAGCAAAATGGGTGGTTTATAAATTCAGAGTCTCATACTTTCATTTATTTGGGGAGGAAAGACTTCACCTTGTGATCAAAACCATGCTGGCACTTCTTTCCATTTGACTTTTGTTAATGTTTGTCTGAACAAATCATGAAACTTAATTCACAAAATAATAATCAGTCCTTTAAAGTGAACCTGTAATAGTATTGTTCAATTCCTTTCTACTCCAGTAACTCTGGTGAGATGTAGTTTTAACTCTGCCTTTCTATTAGATTTAAAAATTATTATGAAGGAAAACAGAGGCTTTCCTCCTAAGACTGGAAGGATATTGATTCAATTATTTGAATGACTCTCAGTGAGAAGGATGTACCCAGAGAGTATATAGGATGATAAAGGTGTATTCCTATGAAAAAGAATCAACTATCTTGGAAAGGGGTAAGGAATATTCTAAAATTCCAGGCTTCCGAACCCTTTTTATTTTTCTCATACAACCCATAATACTTCATTAGCTTGAAAGTCACCTAAGAACAAGCCCTATACTTAGGAGAATCTAGGTGCAGCTTGAATTGGAGCAAGCCTGGAAACATTTCTTGGCATATACAGGATGCAGGAGGCCATGTTTATTTTGGCAGGAGAAAACCAGTAATTAAACTTTTAAAAGAGTTAGGGTTGTGTGGTTGAAAACTCTGCTAAAATGAGCAAACCATCTTTCCATGTTTTCTGTGGCAGAAGATTTAGGAAATTAGGTGGGCTTATTGCTTTCTGGTAAAGCTAAACCTCCTACTCCTGCAACTGAATTTGCGGCTCTTGAAAACTGTTGTGAGATTTCTCAGCACTTGGTTTAGACAAGTGTCCTCTGTTGAAATTCAAAACTGGAGGAGAAATTCTATGGGCATGCCGAAAGACTACATACCATGTGGGAAGTGACTACAAGGTGAGGTTTTGCAAACGCTCCCAAACTTAAAATCCAAATGATTATTATTGTTCGTTTTTTTTTTTCCCCCTGGGGAGAATTAGTTTTTTAATTTTATTTTATTTTTTATTTCAGCATATTATGGGGGTACAAATGTTTAGGTTGCATTTATTGCCATTGTCCCACCTTAGTCAGAGCTTCAAACATGTTCATCCCCCAGATGGTGCACACCATACCCATTAGGTGTGAATTTACCCATTCCTTCCTCCCCCTCCCACCTGCCCAACACCTGATGAATGTTACTACTATATGATATATGCACATAAGTCTTGATCAATTAATACCAATTTGATGGTGAGTACATGTGGTGCTTGTTTTTCCATTCTTGTGACACTTCACTTAGTGGAATGGGTTCTAGCTCTATCCAGGATAATACAAGAGGTGCTAGTTCACCGTTGTTTTTTGTGGCGGAGTAGAACTCCATGGTATACATATACCACATTTTATTAATCCACTCATGGATTGATGGGCACTTGGGTTGTTTCCACATCTTTGCAATTGTGAATTGTGCTGCTATAAAAATAGGTACTCTTTTTAATGATGTTACCACTGCTTGAAACTGTTTTGAAACTCCCCCTTTATGATTACATTCTGAGGTTGTCACATATTAGTTGGAAGATTCTCCATGGCAGCAAATCTTTGTTCTTTGGGGCAAAATGATTCTTTGGAAACAGAGCAAAGTAAAATTCATCAAGCCAGGCAATGCTATTATGGATAAGGAGGCCTACATAAAACAGAAAATAGAACTTCTTTCCAGTGTGCCCAGAAACCTGGCTCTTACCTTGAATCTCTAAGAGGAGCCCTAATGATGTTCGAGAATAAGAACAAACTAAGGGTGTGGCCTCTTTGCATCTTTGCTTCTCAAAGTGTGGTCCATGGACCAGCAGTATCAGCATCAATTGGGAGCTTGAGCTCTCCTTACCATACCTGCTGATTCACAATCTGCATTTTCGCAAGATCCCCAGGGGATTCATTTGCAAATGCAAGTTTGAGAAGCATTGCTTCAGGTGACCATGTCTATTTGGATGTATACATTCAGTGATACTTATTGTTGTCAAATATTTCTGCAATATTTCAGACTCATTCTCTGCCCCCAGGCTCTGCCACCCACCTCTAGTCTGCACCTAGCAAAGTCTTTATCTGAAAATCTCCAGGGACTCTGCCAGGCAGTGCTCTTTATGACAATATTCTAGTTAGGATTGTCACCTCTTTAAGGTGCTTCCTGGTTGACTTTGTCCAAGTTCGGTCTTCAGTCACATGTCTGTAATTTCTAGCATCCCTTCTTACCTCTTCTTTGTTTCAGAGGTGAAACAAGTTGAGGACAGGGGTCCTCAAACTTTTTAAACAGGGGCCCAGTTCACTGTCCCTCAGACCGTTGGAGAGTGCGCACTATGGGCCGGGGACAAGTCGGCTGCTAAGCAGGACAGGCAGCAGCGGCAAAAACACCCAGAGGGCCGGATAAATGTGCTAGGCGGCCTGTATGTGGCCTGCGGGCAGTAGTTTGAGGACGCCTGCTCTAGGATAATCTCTCTTTGAAACTTTAGTGCTTCTGCAGTAAGAGTGATTGCCAGTGGCCTTGTGGTGGTTTCAGAGAACCTAGAGCACTAGAATTTATTTTATTTTTTTATTAAAATTTTTTTTTTTTATTTTAGCGTATTATGGGGGTACAAGTGTTAAGGTTACTTATATTGCCCATGCCCCCCTCCCCCCTCGAGTAAGAGCTTCAAGCATGACCATCCCCCAGAGCACTAGAATTTAAAATGTATATGCCTATGACCAGTTTATTTTCAAGTGTCCTTTCCTTTTCTCCTTCTCCTCTCCTTCCTCCCCACAATCTGTTTCTCAGATACAGTGGCCAGCAAATTTTTTCTGTCAAAGGCCAGATAGCAAATATTTTCAGCTCTGCAGGCCATACGGTCTCAGCTACTCAATTCTGTTGTAGCACGAAAGCAGCCATAGACAATGTGTACACGAATGGACATGGCTGTCTGATTTGGCTGGCCAAGGCAATCTGATTTATGGATACTAAAATTTGAATTTTATATAATTTTCACGTGTCATGAAATATTCTTTCTTTTGATTTCTCTCAATCATTAAAAAATGTAAAAGCCACAGAAACAGGCAGTGGACTGGATTTAGCTCGTGCATTCTGATGGCATTTCCACTGGTTATAGAGAAATCCAAAATGAGAAACCAAACTGCTATTTAAGTTTTTTTAAAGCTCCTAACCAGGAAAAAGTAAACTTTTAATTTTCTATATTAAAAATATTTTTATTGTCTCCATTTCATTCACTTAAACACCTTCATATTACCTGGGTGGGTTTTTTGATCCTTATTTATTTGTAGGATCTTAAAATAATCCCTCATGGATATAATGCCCTTCCTTGAAGGGCTGGGTCTGTGTCCCACTTAATTAATTAAATTAAAAACCTTCCTTTTACTTATCATTGGATAAAGATATCTGATTTTAGTTTTGCTTCCTTGGAGGTTTTGGGTTAAGAATTATTTTTCATGAAAGGAGTAAGTCTTTAACCATTTCATTAGCTTTAAAAAAAATAAGGCTAGGATCAAGAAGGTATTGTCTAGAATGATAAAAATATTAGTTTTTACAATAAAGTTTATTTTTCCATTATAAAAAATAACACATGCTCATTAAAGGACATTTGGTCAGCATATGGTTCTACCACTCATATATGTTGGAATATTCCACACTAATCTTTATGCTGCCCACATATATTTTTACTTGTTTTTTTTTTTTTTTTTTTTTTTGCTTTTTACAGAAACCAAAGCACACCTCTATGCTAAGAAACTTCTTTTCTTAAAAATAGACCTGAGCTGTTCTGTAGGCAGTTTTCTTGAATCTATAATAGAACACAGGTAAAAGGCTGTTTGGAAGATGGCAGCAGAGAAAACAACAAAGAAGAAGCAGGCTCCTTTTAGAATATGGGTTTCTAAATAATAACAATTGCCATGCTGGGAAGTGATTTGCAGATTTTCCTCCATCTCTAGAAAAAATATAGGTACTGCCACACTTTCTGAGCCTGCCACGGAGGGCCTTGGGTACCATCGCCCCCAACCATCCATCTCCCCATGGCCACATCTCCAAATAATTCCCTGTTTTTGTCCACAGGGAACAGCAAGAATGAATTCTCCAGAACTTCCTTGGCTCTAAAAATATTTTTGAAATCTTAAACTCACATCTGCTAATGCCCACGTGCTACCTGGAGGTGACAAATTGGGCTCCCTTCTCTACTTCTGCAGAAATCCATTTAGATAATGTTGCCAGCCAGACACATGGGGAAATTAAGCCATTGGTGGAAAGCTATTTCCATTTTGGAAGGTTTCTTTTCTTTTTTTTTTGGAAGTAGCTGGAAGCTTGGTCCACAAAGCTGCATATGTCTGGAAGCTAGGCTGGGCCTGGTAGGAGGAGGGTTTGTAGGGTCCAGGGCAGGCAGACAATGGCTTTGTTGCTAGATGACTGAGTTCTACATAGCATACTCTTCGCCCTTACCCCTTTTTGGTCCATATCTGTGTGGATGGTTTAGATAAGACAGAGCTCTGAATGCCACACATGCTAGCTCTCTCCATCCACTCTGATTTGCTCCAAATGACATAGTTTAAAAGTTTCAATTTTCCCATCTTTAAGATGAGGATGTAGTTATAACCATAAAGAGTGAAAGTATGAAACTTAAACCACAGGTAATCGGAGATAGAAGGGACTTTAAAGATCATCTCACCCCCGTGGTTCTCAACCTTGAGCTTGCGTCAGAATCACCTGGAGCTGGGCCCCATGCCCAGAATTGCTGAGTCAGAAGAGCTGCAGTGGGTTTGAGAATCTGCATCTTTAACAAGCTCCCAGGTGCTGCTGCTGCTACTCTGGGGCCCATACTCTGAGGAGCACTGATCTAATGCCCACTCACTCACTCGTCTTCCATACGAGAGAACTGAGTTTCAGAGCAACCAAGAGACTTACCTAGGTTGCTTAAAATCTGGTTCTGTGACATTGAACCAATTGTTTTTTTTTTTTTTTTTTTTTTTAAATTGAGATAGGGTCTTGCATTGTTGCCCAGGCTGGAGGTTAGTGGTATCACCATAGCTCACTGCAACCTCGAACTCCTGGGCCCAAGCGATCCTCCTGCCTCAGCCTCCTGAGAAGAGGGGACTACAGGTGTGCACCACCGCACCTGACTAATTTTTCTATTTTTTGTAGAGACAGGGGTCTTGCTATGTTGCTCAGGCTGGTCTCGAACTCCTGGCCTCAACCAAGTCTCCTGCCTTGGCCTCTCAAACTGTTGAGATTACAGGCATGAGCCACCCGCCTGGTTCCAACTGGGTTTTTGCATACTGCGTCGACACTGAGAAGGATGAATTGATATCAAATGTCTGCATATGTGCATGAGGGTGGTTTACCCGCTGGTGGTCCGCTACAAGCCAGTCATTTATTTTGGTCTGTTTTTTTCAGTGAGTCAAGGTCTCCTAAGTCTCCAAGCTAAACAGGAGTACTGCCTGGAGCCAGAATGCATCGAAGCTGGTAAGTCACAGTTTTCCATCCTGTGTCAAGTTATAATTATGGTACCTTGGGGAGTGGAGGAGAAAACAGGTGGTATTTTTAGTCTTTTGTTTGCTTGAGGCTTACCAAGAACGAAATGCAATTTTGAAGACATTTTAAGTTTGCTTTTAAGTTTTGGTGTGAAATAGTGGAGCCTGGGTTTCCTGTTTTCCTTTTCCTTGTGCAGAAAACAGCTGTGCTATATTCCAGGCATCATTATAAGGGAATCAGGAAAAGGCTTGGAAGGCTGAATGGCCTGTCTTATGATCCGCAGGCAGACACCATCTGCCTTCTGATGGCTCGGCTGGCTCTAGTTTCCTATTTGTCTTAAGCTGTCTTTGTGTACCTTCTGCTTAGTGGGTCTGCCCTGCCCTGCATCTAAGCAGGAATCCTTTGTAAATCCACGCTTCCACTGTCACTGTGAATCCCTTTGGGTCCTTCTATTGTGCATCGTGAGTCAAGCTTCTGTTGAGGTGACCAGGCTGTGTATCAGTGGGGACCTCAAGGGGAAGATAGATGAGTGCTGGAAGTTGCCTCAGCTTTGCCACAGTGTTTTGTCCCATTGAGCATGTGGTTGGAATCACCCCAGAAACGGTGACAGGGGAGTTCTTATGAGGGAGTGCCCCAAAGTGTCCTGAGATGGGGCCAGCTGGGATTCCAAAGAAAGAAGTGCTCAATGCGGTCGGGCGAGGTGGCTCACGCCTGTAATCCTAGCACTACTCTGGGAGGCTGAGGTGGGTGGATCGCTCAAGGTCAGGAGTTCAAAACCAGCCTGAGCAAAAGAGAGACCCCTGACTCTACTATAAATAGAAAGAAATTAATTGGCCAGCTAAAAATATATAGAACAAATTAGCCGGGCATGGTGGCACATGCCTGTAGCCCCAGCTACTTGGGAGGCTGAGGCAGGAGGGTCTTCTTGAGCCCAGGAGTTTGAGGAATTTGAGTCAGGGCTGGGGTCAGTTTCTTTCATTGTTTTGGGCAACAAACCTAGGTGCCTTTTTCAGTGCCTGGGAATGTTCAAGGCCCTGGTTTGCGGTCTAAGCCTGCTGGGGAAAACCTGCTCCTGGCTGGTCACAGAGCAGTCAAGGCACACTGTGATTTTCGATCAGGACACAGAAAGAAAGTAGGGGGAATTGGGAGACCCTACACATAGCTATTAGATTCCTCCCAATTAGTGTTAGGGCTTAGTTTTGGAGGAGCCGGATTCTAGCTCCCACCCCCACTCTTTTTTTTTTTTTTATTTCGGCATATGACGGGGGTACAGATTTTAAGGTTTCAATAAATGCCCTTTCCCCCCTCCCCCCACAAGTCTGAGTCTCCAGCATGACCATCCCCCAGACAGTGCACATCTCACTCATTATGTATGTATATACCCGCCCCCCTCCCCCCTCCCACCTGCCCAATACCCTATTACTGTAGTACCTATGTGTCCACTTAGGTGCTGCTCAGTTAATACCAGTTTGCTGGAGAATATATCTGGTGCTTGTTTTTCCATTCTTGGGATACTTCACTTAGAGACGCCAGTGTCTTTTCCAAAGGGAAAGTCACAGGACAAGTTAAACATGTGGCCCTTTCACTTTCCTCTTGGCCTTAAGAGATTCATGAACAAATTCACCTAATATTTATGCATGTCAGGCACTGAGTTAGGTTTGGGGAATATAGCAGTGAACCAGGTATGGGAAGAAAGACAATATAAGACATAAGGCAATCAATGCACAAGAAAATCATCATGCCAGGCATGGTGGCATGCACCTGTAGTCCCAGCTACTTGGGAGGCTGCGGTAGAAAGATCGCTTGAGGGCAGCTTGGGCAATATAGTTTGAACATGTCTCTAAAACGAAGAAAAGAAAAATATCAGCTAGTGGTATATATAATGTAGAAAGTTTAAAAATATTCAAATAGAATAATGTGAAAGCAAGTGATAGGATGGCTAGATTGAAAAGTCTGAGGACATGATCTTGAAGGTGACCCTGAATGATGAGAGAAGGGAACTGCTGTATGCAGACTGAGGCAAGGGCTTGCCAGGTGGGGGGGGACAGGTGGGGCAGGGGTCCCAAAGAGCTTGATGGACTTGAGGAATGGGAGGGACTTTCCAGGTGAGGAGCAGAGTGCAGGTGATAGGGGTGGGGCTCAGGTGCCAGTAAGTTTGGGCTTTTCTTAAGTGTGCTCAAAAGCTTTGGGTGGGCTGGGTGCGGTGGCTCACGCCTGTAATCCTAGCTCTCTGGGAGGCCAAGGTGGGAGGATTGCTCAAGCTCAAGAGTTCAAAACCAGCCTGAGGAAGAGTGAGACCCCGTCTCTACAAAAAATAGAAAGAAATTAATTGGCCAACTAAAAGTATATAGAAAAAAAATTAGCCAGGCATAGTGGCACGTGCCTGTAGCCCCAGCTACTCGGGAGGCTGAGGCAGGAGGATCTGCCTGAGCCCAGGAGTTTGAGGTTGCTGTGAGCTAGGCTGATGCCACGGCACTCTAGTCCAGGCAACAGAGTGAGACTCTGTCTCAAAAAAAACAAAAAGCTTCTGGTGTGTTTTAAGAAAGTGAGAGTACATTTTACAAGCATTTAAAAAGAATCTCTCTGTGGAGAACTCCTCTGTTTGAGGAAGTTTTTCTGGGTGGAGAAGCCACCATAGAGAGCAGGAATTCAAGAAGTTCGCCCAGGCAGGAGACTTATCTCAGTGAGCTGGGTGAGTGGTAATGCGGTCTCAAATTCAAGGTATGGGGAGGGACGGTGTGTAGGGGGTTAGAAGGTAGAGGGCCTGCTGAAGGATTCCATATGGGCTGTGAGCAAAAGCAGAGAATTGGGGATGACACTTAGATTGGGTGGTGGCATTTATTGAGATGGGAAAGACTTAGATGAAAGAGCTCGTAAACTCTGAGGCCATATACAGAGGTGATGGGTTAGATAATTATGTTATTAAGAGTTCTTTTTTCGTTCCATTCTTAAGTGATCAATATATATATTTTTAACTAGGCAGTGTGTTAAGTGACTTACATGCACCATCTCATAAGACCCCTATGGAGTGGGTGCTATCAGCAGTCCCACTTATGGATGAGGAAATGTAGGCTTCTAGAGGCTCAATAACTGCCCAGGGCCAGGTCCTAACTTAGCAGCAGAGCTGGCCTTCATGTCTCCATCTCTCTCCTCTCCATCTTTTCCTTGGGGCCATACCAAGCAACTCTCTTTGGGCCTCATCCTTTGTTCTTTTTTCATAACACTAGACCTACTAGAGTCTACTGGCTAGACAACCATTTCAACTCCTTGATATCATCCCTGGAAGGGTGATCCTCTCTCTTCTGGAATGATCTGAGAACTCCCTGGCTCTTCCCTGTTCCCAGCTTAACCAGCTGACCTGGGGTTTTCCCCAGTGGAGAGAGGATGCCATGGTATAGGTTGGGGGACTAGAGGGGACTATCATGAGAAGTTTTAGACTTCATGTCACCTGCTGCTTTTGCTGTAGTAGGGTTCTTGCAGATGCATGAAATTGAAATTTTTGAGCTCAGAAATTTTCAATTTGAGATTAGACAACTTTTTGTATGGACGGTCACTTATTTCATGAGTTTTGTTTCTTTATTAGGAATCCTAACAAAGCAAGAGTAAAACTTACAGACTGACATTTGATGTCGCCTTCTTCCAGCCAGTGTGTTTTGCCTTGCTGTCCTGTTTTTAATTTTCACATTGGCGAATGGCTTTCTAATGTTGCAAAAAAAGTATTGATTTTTTTTTGCTGTTTCTGTAGCGATAGGCTCACCAAGGATACAGTCCTCTTTAGTGTAATAAGAACTTCAGTGTGCCCAGGGGTCTGCAGAACAGCTGTTGAGTACACATGGCAGGGGAATTGTGGCCAAGCCAGGGCCTTAAACAAGAGGCCGTGCGTGCGTGGGCGCAAATGCTGAATGTTTAGAAGAGAAAAGTGTTTGATCGCCTTCTGGACCATTTCTGAGCAGGTGCCAATCATTTCTGAGATGCCTCCTCTCCGTAACTCTCCTTTTCTTCTCCATGTCCTCTTATTCTTGCAAAATAAGAGCTGCACAAAGAATGCAAAGAAACGAGCAAAGGGCACGCTAAGGATAGTAAATAAGGGCAGACAGGCTGGCCTGGGTTTGAAGCATGATCTGGCCATTTACAAGCCACATGATCCTGGGCTAAATACATAACCATCCTAAGCCTCAGTTTCACCATCTGTAAAATTGGAATAATGGGTTTTTATTCATCATACTAGTTGTGAGAATAAAAGAAAATAATAATGGTGGTAGCAGTAATTCAGGTTCATGATGCCCAATCCTTAACCCCAAACCCAGAAAGCACTAAAACTCTCAGATCTCAACTCCTTTGATGGCAAAACCTGCTTTTTTTTTGAGACAGAGTCTCACTCTGTTGCCCAGACTAGAGTGCCGTGGCATCAGCCTGGCTCACAGCAACCTCCAACTCCTGGGCTCAAGCGATCCTCCTGCCTCAGCCTCCCAAGTAGCTGGGACTACAGGCATGCACCACCATGCCCAGCTCATTTTTTCTATATATTTTTAGTTGGCTAATTCATTTCTTTCTATTTTTAGTAGAGACGGGGTCTCGCTCTTGCTCAGGATGGTCTCAAACTCCTGACCTTGAGCGATCCTCCCGCCTCAGCCTCCCAGAGGGCTAGGATTACAGGCGTGAGCCACCAAGCCTGGCCCAAAACCTGCTTTTAACTCATGAAAGGCTGTTTTAGACTTTATTTATCCCACTTAAGAGAATATGCTATGTTTCCCTATAGAAGTGTTAATGTACTCACTTCAGGGGTGTCACTCCAGACATTGCAGACATATTATATAATCTGTGGTTATATACATGGTATTTCTTTTCCAAAATCTGAAAATCCATGAGCTCTGAAACATATCTAGTCTCAGAGTTTCAGATAAGTGATTGTGGAATTGTAATAGCTATTGTTTATGTATATAGTTCCCAGGTTTAGCTAAATACATGCAAACATGCAGGATGCTTGATTATGTTTGCATTGCAGATCTATAATAACTGCTTTCTTTTGGTAAAATATGTCCCATGCAATATTTGGTACATACTTATTCTAAAAAGTAGTTGTTTATCAGAAATTCAAATTTCACTGGGTATCCCATATTTTATCTGGCAACCATATTTATGTGGCAATGTGCCCAACACTGTTCTAAGCACTTTACATATATTTAGTCATTTAATTTGCATGATGATCCTCTGGGGCACTATTTTTTTTCTTTTTCTTTTTTTTTTTTTGAGACAGAGTCTTACTCTGTTGCCTGGGCTAGAGTGCTGTGATGTTAGCCTAGCTCACAGCAACTTCAAACTCCTGGGCTCAAGCAATCCTCCTGCCTCAGCCTCCCAAGTAGCTGGGACTACAGGTATGAGCCACCATGCCCGGCTAATTTTTTTTCTATTTTTTACTAGAGACAGGGTCTTGCTCTTGCTCAGGCTGGTCTTGAACTCCTGAACTTAAATGATCCTCCCTCCTCGGCCTCCCAGGGTGCCAGGATTACAGGCATGAGCCACCATGCCCGGCCTAGGGGGCACTATTTTTATTCCCATTTTACAGGTGAGGAAACTGAGACACAGAAAGGTTAAGTAACCTGCCTAAGGTTCTTGCTATTGTGTGGTGTTCTCCCATTCAAACCCAAGAGGTCTGACTCTAGAGTTTGTGACGATGACATGTTGCTTGAAAAGGGCTTAGCATAATTCCTGGCAGAGAAGAAATGCTCAATGTTGGTGATTTTACTATTATTATTTTTTATAGAGATGGGGTCTCACACCATCACCTAGGCTAGAGTGCAGTGGCATGATCATAGCTCACTGTAACCTCGAACTCCTGGGCTCAAGTCATCCTCCTGCCTCAGTCTCCCAAGTAGCTGGGACTACAGGCACATACCATCATGCCCACCTAATTTTTCTGTGTTTTTTTTTTTTTTTTTTTTTTTTTTTTTTTTTATAGAGACAGGGATCTTACTGTCTTGGTCAGGTTGGTCTTGGACTCCTGGCCTCAAGTGATCCTCCTGCCTTGGCTTCCCAAAGTGCTGAGATTATTATTATTATTACTACCCTCTCCCTTGAGCCCTGATTAAACCTAAAAACTCAGGCTGGTGTATGGGGAGGTTGCCTCCACCTCTCCCACATAAACACTAGCTGGAGACTGCGTGAGAATTAACCTCATGTGCAGTGAGTTGGGCGAGTGCACAGCCTGAGCTTTCACAGGTTTCCTTCATCATCATATTTCTTTTATTAAAACCTTACTCTCTGGGTTTTCTCCATGGAGCTGAATAGGAGGAAAGGAGTTTTGGTGTCTTGACAACTATGGTCCCTTGCAATTTGAAGTCACAGTTCCCTGCAGAAAGTGCAGCTCTACGTCCCGCTGTGAATCGTGAATGATGAATTGGGAGGCTGAAGCTAGAGTTTTCTCACTCAGCGGGCTCCTTTCCAAATTCAGTGTGAGTGATGTATTCCCCAGCTTTTGTATCAGGGGCAAGGTCAGAGCTGATCTTGCAGTTTTGCTAGGTACCTGCAAGAATACTGAGATGGAGAGGATACATTTGAGGGTTGGGGGCAGGGGAAGTTTGGGAAGGAGGCCAGAAAACAATGCACTTATGTGATTAAAAAATGTATATGAAGGCTCCCTTGTGTGACTGTAAATGTTGTGTGGGACAGAGACCTGTGTGATCCATGTCCCTGAGGTATCACATAGCAGATTCATTCTGTGGCTGCACAGAGTAACTATAAATGCAAACCAAAAGGAAGATTTTTATGTTTTAGCATATTTGCATATTAAATATAAAATGATAAAATAGTAGCAGTAAGTAAAAATGTACTTAGAGACAATCATATTAGTTCTAGAAAATAAAAATTAAGCCAATTTGAAATTTATCGAACTTCTAAACCAATTTTTTGCTAGTTTTTTTTTTTGGGGGGGGAAGGGAGCTTCGAAAATTGCGGGGGTTTTGAAATCCTATAGAAATTAGGGTGTTTATATTATTTATTTCATTGAAGACAAAAAGATGTTAGAAATTTCATAGAAAACTCTAGGATAGAGAAATATCTAGCCTTATTTTTAAACCTGGAGGAACCATACATGTAACCAAATTGTAAGATGTGTATCTAAATTTACTCAGATTGTATTTTGGGGGCAATTCATTCACATTTAGCTGAAAACTCATTGGATTTTCATTATTTCAAACAAAAATGTATTCTGGCATTAATTGAAGTATGAAAATTGCCCAGAATGTCATCTTTCCAATGTCATTAAAATATTGGCTGCTATTTCTTTTTAATCAGTTGGTGCATATCTTTGTGCTAGCATGGTAGCCAGCAATTGTATGGCACTTGGAAGAGAGTTGAAGTTCAATATTAGGAATTTTGAAACCATCTTATTTTGTAATGAAAGATTTTCTTTTTCTTTTTTTTTTTTTTTGAGACAGAGTCTCGCTTTGTTGCCCAGGCTAGAGTGAGTGCCATGGCGTTAGCCTAGCTCACAGCAACCTCAAACTCCTGGGCTCAAGCGATCCTGCTGCCTCAGCCTCCCGAGTAGCTGGGACTACAGGCATGCGCCACCATGCTCGGCTGATTTTTTCTATATATATTACTTGGCCAATTAATTTCTTTCTATTTATAGTAGAGACAGGGTCTCGCTCTTGCTCAGGCTGGTTTTGAACTCCTGACCTTGAGCAATCCGGCCCGCCTCGGCCTCCCAGAGTGCTAGGATTACAGGCGTGAGCCACCGCGCCCAGCTGAAAGATTTTCTTTTAAAGTTCATGGATACATATTTATGCACAAATATTCTACCTATGGACTATCTTCTGTATGTAATTGTGTATAGGCTTATGAAAGAGGAAAAACTGGTTGATCAGTCTATTGTGTCTGTTAACTTACTAGAAATACTGAGTTCTGCCCCTAGACCTGGGCCCCTTTTTTAGAACACCCCACTTTGGCCCTCCTCTGGCCATGCCTCTCCCCTCATCAAGGAATCTTGGGGCCAAGTTGGCAGCTGTCTCCTACACCCTAGAATTCCCCGCCAGATGGCTCCTTTCAGGGCCTGTGTTGGTCTCTTCCTAGATTTTATTCCTCTGAGAGCTACACTGAATGTCAGGGGGCTCAAGAATTCATACCTGGCCTCCAGGTCTTTATGAAAGTATATTGTAAATGTATATATATATATATATATATATTTTTTTTTTTTTTTTTTTTTGAGACAGAGTCTCATTTTGTTGCTCAGGCTAGGGTGAGTGCCGTGGTGTCAGCCTAGCTCACAGCAACCTCAAACTCCTGGGCTCAAGCGATCCTGCTGCCTCAGCCTCCCGAGTAGCTGGGACTACAGGCATGCGCCACCATGCTCGGCTGATTTTTTCTATATATATTACTTGGCCAATTAATTTCTTTCTATTTATAGTAGAGACAGGGTCTCACTCTTGCTCAGGCTGGTTTCGAACTCCTGACCTCGAGCAATCCACCCGCCTCGGCCTCCCAGAGTACTAGGATTACAGGCGTGAGCCACCACGCCCGGCCTATAAATATATTGTTAAAATACTTAGATGACATGTGGGCCTCTGTTTTGATTAACCTTCGCTGTGAAGCAAACCACCACCAAACCTTAGAGGCCGGAAACAAGAATGATTTACTATTTCTCATGATTCTGTATGTTTGGGGGATAGTTTCTCTGCTGATATTGCCTAGGGTCGTTCGTGCAGCTGCATTCAGCTGGAGGGTCACCTGGGCTGGAAGGTCAATGATGGCCTCAGTCACATGTCTGGCAGTTGGTGCTGGCTTGATTCTTTTCCATGCGGTCCCCTGTCTTTCAGGAGGCTTCTTCAAGGAGCAGCCTCGGGGCTCCATTCACAGGGAGTTAACATGGAAGGCACAAGGTCTCTTAAGGCTTAGCTTTGAGACTGACAAGAAGTTCCTTCTGTCAATTCTGTTGGTCAAAGCAAGTGACAAGGTCAGCCCAGATTCAAAGCAGTGGAAATAGACTCTACCACTTGCTGGGAAGAGTAGCAAAGTCACTTTGCAGAAGGACACGCAGGATGGGAAAAAAGAGTCACACTTAGCTTTGCAAATAATCAACCATACACTACATTTGTATTCTTGTCCTGTGCCCCACAGATGGGATGGTCTTGAAAAAACCAATAGCATTAATATCCACTCACTCTGAATGAAGTCATTTCATATAGCGAAGTTAATTCAGAAAGTAATTTGAGGAGAAATTTGAAAGCCAAGGCTTGGGAACTGGTTGATATGAAATCGTTGTTTAATTTGGAAGAGAACAGTACACAACGTTCAGTGCTTGTCATTAATCCTATGATTTTCTTTTTAAATAGCTGCTGCCATCTTGAGTAAAGTAAATCTGTCTGTGGATCCTTGTGATAATTTCTTCCGGTTCGCTTGTGATGGCTGGATAAACAATAATCCAATTCCTGAAGATATGCCAAGCTATGGGGTTTATCCTTGGCTGAGACATAATGTTGACCTCAAGTTGAAGGGTAAGTTTCTACTGGGGTTTGGTGATGCGCATTACAGAAAGCAATATTTGACAAGAAAAATGTAGTTTAGGATTTGAAGCATGACTTTTCACTTTTTAACTCTACTAAGTTCATTTCCAAGAATTTTTAATGTGGAAGATTGAAAAGAAACTTTGCAGAATTCTGGTATCCCGGATCTCAGTGCAAGTCTAATGTAGGTTACATTTCCATTCGATAATAATTAATTTCTACTGCTGAAAGATAAATAGCATTTGATTGAGATTGGGAAGAGGAATAATTAATGAAAATTATATCAACATACTTATTTGTCTGTTGTGTTCAGAGTACACTTCATTTCTTGTTCATTGTGTCCTGGATTGTCATGGTTTACAAAATGTACTTAACACCTCATCATCTTTTGACATCACTTTTGAGAACTCTGGATGACCTTGTGGTTGTCATATTGTTCCTGTTAACTTCTAAGTTGGCTCTAGGGAGACTCACTTTTCTCCCTTGGCTTCTCTAGCAATGAAAGGCTCACTCACACATACTCACACGTGCATACACACACTCACGTATGTGGTCAAACACACTCCTCCCTCCCCCAAAGTTGGAAATATCTGTTACTGGAAGATAGCTACTTTGTTTTCATTGAATCTAATTTTTATGCTAAGCTATTAGAGAAAGCACTTCAGGAGGAAAGTAGGAAGATTTCAAAGCCAGATAAGAAAATTGTTTTGAGAAGGCAAAAATACTATGTGTTTTTTTTTCTTTTTGACAACTTTGAGTTGTGCTATGTAACTTGCATTCAGTAACACCTACAAAGAATTTCTGAGAAGTTATAAGAATCATCATTTTTTTCTTTCCCATTTCCATTTCCCTAAGATTTTAAGTACATGAAAATTAAATATGTATCATTTTATAACAAGTGAAACTCTTGGCAAAATAATTAGATACCTATTGTCATTTGGAAAGGAAAATGTGCTTAAATTTTACAACTAGATATAAATCACATGGACTTATATTTTCTATTAGGAGACCCACACTTAGTCTTGGTAAATTATAAATGAAAGTTTGCAAGAATGTCAGGGTTTCCCATACCATAAATAAGACCTTGAGGACTGAGTTTACTAATACTTATTTCCTTGTAGGACATTAATTCACATGGGTCCTTCATCTACCATTCTTGTCCATTTCCCATTTCCTTTCTGTGGCTTTTCTTTCTTGATAGATGTGTACATACAAGCATAATCATGCACACAGAAATATCACTAAAAGATAAGAAAATAATAAGATTTCCAGATCTTGTATCTCCTTTTTACATTCGTTTGTAACTCAAAGATTTCTATCTTTAGGACATGAAGTGGTTAGAATAATGTAAAAATTAAAGTCTGTATTGATGTACTTTGTTTGAGGGGAATACTGTATATGGGCTCCTTCATGAAATAAGAATAAATTGTTCAGTACAGGGGTTTTTTGCTTGCTGGCTTCCTTTTAAAAAGTTAAAAATTTCATTTCTAAGCTCAGTTGGGAAAATAAAAAAGAGGAAAAAGTAGAAAGTTGTTCCTAAATCTACCTTTAGAAATAACTGCCAATAAGGCAATTGGGTATATTTCTTTACAGATTTTGTGCTGTGTGTAGGTCCATATGCATAACCTCATTAACACACTCCTCATATATTTTAAAAATTAGCTGATAATATGCATACTACTATGTAACCTGGGTTTTTAAAATTTTTTTTTTTATTTTTTGAGACAGAGTCTCACTTTGTTGCCCAGGATACAGTGCTGTGGCATCAGCCTAGCTCACAGCAACCTCAAACTCCTGGGCTCAGGCGATCCTCCTGCCTCAGCCTCCCGAGTAGCTGGGACTACAGGCATGTGCCACTATGCCCGGCTAATTTTTTCTATATATTTTTAGCCATCCAAGTAATTTCTATTTATTTTTAGTAGAGACAGGGTCTCGCTCTTGCTTAGGCTGGTCTTGAACTCCTAAGCTCTAGCGGTCCTCCCGTCTCGGCCTCCCAGAGTGCTAGGATTACAGGCATGAGTGTAACCTGTTTTTAAAAACTGCTTTCCTCATAGACATGGGTTATATCAGTAGATAACTTTTCTTATTATAAATAACACTGTAATAAACATCCTTGTGTACACATCTTTATGTCCTTATCTAAATGTATCCTTAAATACATTCCAGAAATGGAATTATTGGGTTGAAAGAGTACTCACAATTTAACTTTTGATGCACATAGCCAAATTGCCCTTTAGAAAGTTTATTTCTAGGTATACATATATATATATATATATAATTTTTTTTTTTTGCTGTTTTAAATAACTTTATTGTGGGCTGATTGCCCACAGCTGCTCTGGAAAAAATAATAAGAAAATAAATGAATGTTATAAAAATTATTTAAAAAAATAAATAACTTTTTTTCGATCAACTGTTTTCTGTGGAATAAAGTAGGGATCAGCAAACTATGGCCATTGGGCCAAATCCAACCCACTGCCTGTTTTTGTAAATAAAGTTTTATTGGAATACAATCGTATCCATTCATTTATGCATTATCAATGACTGCTTTTAATGCTCCAATGCGCAGAGCCAAGTAGTTTGCCCCAGAGGCTGTATTCCACCAGCCTAACATATTTCTCCTGATCTTTATGGACAAGTTTGCCAACCCCTGATGCTTGGTGTAAAAGTCAGCTTTGATGTATTTATATTGATCTGATTGAACTGTCTTATTCATTAATAGCTTTTTTGGTGGCTTCTTTAGGATTTTTTTTTTTATTTTTTTTTTTGTTTTTTGGAACCAGAGTGCTACTTTGTTGCGCAGGGCTTAGAGTGAGTGCTGTGGCGTCAGCTAGTCTCACCAGCGAACCTCAAAACCGGCTGAGTGATCCTTTCTGCCTCAGCCCCGAGTAGCTGGACTACAGGCATGCGCACGCCAGCCCGGCTCAATTCTTTTTATATATAACTCGAGTTGGCAATTAATTCTATTCCCTATTTAATGTAGAGAGCGGGGTCTCCTCTTGCCTTTCAGGCTGGTTTTGAACCCTGACCTTGAGCAATCCCGCCTCCCGTCGCTCCCAGAGCTGAGGATTACAGGCCGGGAGCCCCAGCCGGCCCAGGCCTTCTTTAGGATTTTTTAACATAGTTAATCATAAAGGTAGAATCCCAGAACAGTGTTTAGTAATAGCAATGATAACGGGTATACTTTTCTTATTTTTAACCTGGGTGGTAATGCCTCTAGTATTCTCAGCAAATAATATATACATTTTTAAATTTCTGATAGTTATTCTTTATTCGATTCTATTGTTCCTAGTTGCAAAAGGTGGTTCAAGAAAAATGCTCATTGTCATTTATCAAGAACTCAGATGGCCTCATCTCTTTTTTTTTTTTTTTTTTTTTGAGAGCAGTGGTCTCACTCTGTTGCCCAGGCTAGAGTGAGTGCCTGGAACAGCCTAGCTCAAGCACCTCAAACTCCTGGCTCAAGCAATCCTTCCCTGCTCAGCCTCCAAGTAGGCGGTGACTCACAGGCATCACCACCAATGCCCAGCTAATTTTTTTCTACTATATATTAGTTGCCAATTAATTCTTCCTATTTATAGTAGAGACGGGGTCTCGGCTCCATTGCTCCAGGCTGGTTTCGAACTCCTGACCTCGAGCAATCCACCCGCCTCGGCCTCCCAGAGTGCTAGGATTACAGGTGTGAGCCACTGCGCCTGGCCAGATGGGCTATCTCTTTTAACTTCTGTAGATTTCCTCATGCTGAACTAAACTTATAATTTTGAAATAAATCCTACCTCTGAATGGTTTAAGACATTGCCAGAATTGAATAAGCTAGTGTTTTGTTTCCTACGTTTGTGTTTCTATTTGTGATTCATATTGGTCCATGGCTTTTCGTGTGCTAAGTTTGTCAAATTCTATTATTAAGATTGTGCTGGCCTTGTGAAACAAAGTGGGAGGTTTCCTGTATATTTCTATGCTCTGGGAAAGATACAGCTCAATAAATCCGAAGTTATTCTGTGACAAGCACTCTAAAGGACAAGTTCACAAACTGATCTTGGGGTTCTTGCTTCAAGTATAAAGAAGGAGAGCAAATGGTAGAGTAGAGTCTCTTTCAAAATTAGTATCATCTTGTACCAGATGTATATAAAATATCCTTTAAATTTTGCATTTTGACGTAATTCAGACTTAGAGAAATTGAACGAATAGCGCAAGGTACTCCTATGAACCCTTTACCCAGATTCCATGATTGTTACCATTTGTTACATTTGCTCTGTTATTTTTTTTCTTACTCTCTACAATGTATAGATATTGTATAGATACAGAGAAAGAGACATTTATATACTTTTATACATATAGATAATACATGATAAAATGTCTCTAAATGTATAGATATTGATATATATACAGATTTTTAAATGAACTTTGCAAGTATATTGCAGATTATTAGATATTAAAGTGTATAGAGCTTTTTGTGCTAGCAATCTTTATGTCTTTTTCTTAAACATTGGATCTTTAAATTCTATCTCTATCTCTTTATATATTCTATATCTATGTGTCTATCAGTCTATCTACCTATCCATCTAACTGTCCATCCATTTATCATTCCATCCAGGTAACACTCATTGTAGACTAACCATCAATAAGCAAGAAGAAAAATACATTTCAAATCCTAACAGCCAGCAATTACAACTTTTAAAATGCAAATATACATATAAAATTATGTCTCTCTTAAAAGGGACCAAATAATATATTCTGTTTTTATAATCTTTTTACTTGACATGTGAACATCTTTTCCTGTCAATAAAAATAGCTCTATGCCATCATTTGCCAAGACTGCTTTGTATGGGTATGTGTACTATAATTTATCTAGCCAATGCCTCTGTTACCATTTAGGTTATTTCCAGTTTTTCCCCTATTGTAAGCCACTCAGAGCATGAGTTTTGAAGCCTCAGGAGCTGGATTTGAATCCTAGTTTCCTTTCATTTACCCTCTATGTTACTTTGGGCCTATTAAGC